ATGACAGGAAGAACACTCCTTCCAGACTTTGCTTAGATAGCAAATCCTGCAAGGCAGCAGAACATGGAACAGGTTGCACTGAATTACATGTTACCAGTAGCAGGATGATCATGAAGACCATACTCCTGACCTGACATTAATGATATTATATTGATGACATTAGATATTATATATTACTGACATTAGATATTATATATTTGACATTATATACTGACATTATATACTGACATATATTACTGACATTAGATATTATATATTAGCTTGTTTAAAATTACAAGGCAGCCCATTTACTTGCAGATGTCAATAAATATATTGAAAAAGAGAAAGATCTGTTAAATGTCAAAAATAAGATATTTATTTTAGTAATAATTAAAGCGAAGATTCACTTTATTTAAAATTGTAATTGTTGATAAAAATACAAAAAAACGTTGTCATATGTCTACAGAAGAATAAGCTAATAATTTAAAGTTACTTAACTTAACTTGGAAAACCCTCACAACAATTCACAATCACCTTTGATGATTTTAACTTTAGATATTAAGCTGCTCCAAGAGGAACTAAGTATCTCATCACAAAGCATCATGGGAGAGCAATTTAAATAGACAGTTTACACTTCCTTCCTAACCGATGCTGCTTACTGGTCAGAGCTAACATCGAATCTCAGATCTTTTGATTCTGAGAAAGAACTGAAATCACTGTACCACAGTTGCAATGAAGTTATTTCGCATTTTCACTAGTAACTATTACAAACTGTTCCTTATATGAAGTGATTTTATGTATAACGCCTAATTTTTTGTTTTGTTTATAACTACACATAATGATTATGTATTTTATTGATAAAACAAAAAGAAAAATATTTACCACAGATTCTACTTTGATAATAATGATTTCATTTAATTTAACAATTGATTTGTTTTGTCAAAATATTCACTTATTGAAATTGAAGTAGAAGGCCAAATATTTATAATGAAAAAAAAGTATTAAGCAATTCAAAATCAGCATAAAAAATTAATTAAGAAAAACTACGCAAAATCCTAAATAAGTTAATTTTGGACCTCCCCCCCTACATATATACTAATAAGTATATACGCTAAAAAAAAATTACGCTAATACGCTAAAAACATAATAAGCACCAACACTTCAATGAATTAAAAAAAAAAGTGTAACAAATATTTAACGCAATAAAAATAATTTTTAATGCAATAAAAATAATTTTTAATGCAATAAAAATAATATTTAATGCAATAAAAATAATTTTAAATGCAATAAAAAGAATTTTTAATGCAATAAAAAGAATTTTTAATGCAATAAAAAGAATTTTTAATGCAATAAAAAGAATTTTTAATGCAATAAAAAGAATTTTTAATGCAATAAAAATAATTTTTAATGCAATAAAAATAATTTTTAATGCAATAAAAAGAATTTTTAATGCAATAAAAATAATTTTTAATGCAATAAAAATAATTTTTAATGCAATAAAAATAATTTTTAATGCAATAAAAATAATTTTTAATGCAATAAAAATAATTTTTAATGCAATAAAAATAATTTTTAATGCAATAAAAATAATTTTTAATGCAATAAAAATAATTTTTAATGCAATAAAAATAATTTTTAATGCAATAAAAATAATTTTTAATGCAATAAAAAATTTTTTTAATGCAATAAAAATAATCAATTTTTAATGCAACAAAAATAATCATTTTTGAAGGCAACAAAAAAACTAATGGCTCAACTTTACATCAACTATTTAAAGAAGAACTTTTTTATTTTTTAAAGTATAACATCAAAGATGTTGTGCTCCAATTATTAAATAAAAACATAAAAACTTAAATAATTTTCAAAAACATATACATCTTTATATATTATTGCCGAACTTTATAGGTTTAGTAGTAGTGTTATTCAAGCGTGTTTGACAAACGAGGTAGTGGTGAAAAAGAGTAGCAGAATTTGAAGTTGACGTACGTTAATATCTAACGTACGTAAACTTTAAATCATGTAATGTTAAAACATACTGAAACATTTATTAAGTTTTACAGTTTGATTTTCACTTAAAAATTGCATAGCGTCAAGATCTCCTTAATTTTTAAATATTTATTTCCTTTAAAAAATCATTATATAGTTTTAGAAATTTTGGATTAATAAACGTGCTAGCATGGCTGAGTGGATAGAGCGCCGAGCTTCTAAACAAGTGATCGTCGGTTTGAGTCCTACTACTAGCAACTTTTTTTTTTTTAATTTTTTTAATTATTTTAAAATACAAAATACTTTTAAAGTTTATAGAAATTATATACAAGCATATGTAATGATATTATACACTTTAACAAACGGAAAGATTTTAAAAAAGCTAAAATTACTAAAAACATCAAAACAGCGACAGAAAGAATTTGTTGCCTATGTGTCATGATCGAGATACTTATGTTATAAATGTGCTCAGGTAATTAGTCCTATTAATGGTCTGGTCTAAAAAAATGGATGGTCTAAAAAAAGTTGTCTGAAACTTAATAAAGAAAATACAGTCCTGCTACTCCAGAAGGTGCTGCAAAAAAAAAAAGAAGCATATCACTAGAAAAAAATTCAAAACTTTCTTTTGACAATTAAAAGTTTTTTTTGGTACATTTATTTTTTTACTATAAATATATATGCTGCATAGTTTTACAAAACACCTTAATATGCTTATTACATATTTCGAGAAACTCTTTGTAAAACGTTTTTTGAAACAAATAATTTAAATGAATTTTTTCACAACTCTTTGAAAATATGTATTAAATAAGGTTTTAAGAAACATATAAATCATTTTTTAATTTTAATATAATTTTTTTTTAAACTTTGTTGATTATAACATTGAAAAAACACAAAACATTGTCTCATCTAAGTAGAAAATTTGAAATAACGTCATCTACTTGATAATAGCCTCAGCTATTAAACGCTAATCCAAAAATTAGCGTTTAATAGCTGAGGCCTATTATTCTTTAGTTTTTAACCATAATCCTAAGAATCAACTTTTTTTAAGACTATGCTTTACTGGTCTAAGATCTTCTAAGTTCCATTTGTATAGAGTTACGTACAAACATCTTTAAATGTAAATGTCTTTGGCACATGTTTGTAGGCATTATATAGAATAATCGCATATAATATATCTACAAAATGAGAAATCTTTTTTACTATATTATTTTTTTGCTATAAATATAGAAGCAAAATTTTAAAATTTGTTACATTAAGGGGAGGTCTTAAACCCTCCAAAACAACATTGATGACAGCGTACTTAACCACTAAGCTATCAATGAAATGCATTAGGCAACATTTAGGCAACAAAAGATATGATAACTACATTCAATTGGTAACAGTACTTCTGCAAAAATGCCATCAACTTGGATGTAAAATGTCCTTCAAAATTTATTTTCTCTACTCAAACCTAGACTTCCACCCCAGTTGTGGAGCTGTTAGTGATGAATATGGGGAAAGGTTTCACCAAGTTATTTCTGTAATGGAACAAAGATATCAGGGTCATTGGAATGAGGCTATGCTTGCAGATCACTGTTGGTTTCTGTGTAGGGATGCTCCAGAACTAGTCTACAAAAGGAAAGCAAAAAGATCACAATCTTGTGATGATACCTCATAATTATCTTTATACCTATTAGTTTGATGATCATGATTTTTTTGAAAATTAATTTTGAAAATTCGGTTTAGATATTATTATAAATAAATTGCGATTTCTTTATTTAGCCTGGCTCAACCAATGCTATTTATTGAGCATGATGTTAATCAGTTAAATGGAAGTATTGTTTGTGATGGCATGTCTGTACATCAGGACTTAACATGATTGAATGCATAGGCTATTTAATTAAGATGTATGGGTGTGGAATATTTAAAGAATTGGAAATATTTTTAAAATTTCTGAAGTTCAAATTATATAAATTAAATTTTGGCAGAAAAAAACCCCAGAGTTCAGTCAGTAATGTAGATTGACCTCTTCAAATAAACTAACTTATTTTTGCTTTTATCTAGTGTATCTATTTATTATTGTCAAAAATATAAAATATAAATATGGAAATCTTAACTACATATCTAATCATTTGTGTATTTTTATGGTATTATATATTTTGTAGATTACAGCTTTTATTATGTGTATATATTAATTTTTATATTATCGATAAAGCGTTTTTTAAAATTACATTTAGTAAACTTACAATAATAATTAATAATACAGTGCGGATGTTTTACAAAATCATCTTAATATAAGCAAATACTGTCTTATTCTTATTACCTCAAGTAAAGAAACAAAAAAAAATTGCCTCAATATAGTAAAATCATTAAAATGCATTGTATACATAAATGAAATTTTGATAATATATAGAAAATTATAACCTATCACTTTCATTGTTTTAAGGAAATGCATTTTAAGAAAAGAATTTTCCTTTAAAATTAATTTCCTTATTTCAAAGGATACTTTCCTAGTGTCAAACTTAAGGATTATTTTCTTAATTTTTCCCTTCAAAAAAATAAAGATTTTTAAGGAAAAACATTTCTTTAAAATTCAATTTCCTTATTTCAAGAAAATCTTTACCAGTGTTGATTTTAGGGGATTATTTCCTTGATTTTTCTCCATAAAATAAGGAAAGTCTTTTTGAGTGTATATAAAGTGGTAAATAAATAAAACCAAATGTTTTAATTCTATTAATAAATTTTTTTTTTATGCAAGATTTAAAAAATCAAATGAATCAAGGAACTTTGATGGAATGAACTTTGAATGGAATCATAAAAATTTTATTTTTCTGATGCTATTGTTGTATCTGATGCTAAGTTCAAAACTTTATACTTTTCATTATTAATTAATATTTTTTATTAACATTTTATTCATTTATTATAATTTGTTAATTATTAATTATTCAATAATGAGAATAAATAAACAAAAAAGTTTTAATAAATATTTGTCTAAAAATATTACAATACTTAAAAAAAACTTTTTACTGCGCACATAAAAAATAAACTTGACATACATAAAGTTAACTGAATATTTTCCAAAAAGAATAACATCATTTGCTTTGATATTGATTTCTTGATTTGGTTGAACTTTGATTTTGTTAACAAAAACACCAACTTTAGATTTATCCACTATTGTTACCTCTTCATCCTAATAAATCAAATTTTTTGATTAGTTCCCAGATTATTTTTTTTTCAATTTATTTTATCATATAAATAATTTATATTTATATATGGATAATATAAAACAATATTTTTTATGGATAACATATTATGTAATCAATATATAGAAATACATTTACTTGCAGATCAAAACCCTTATGTTTTCTGAAAGATCAATAAATATAGAATAATATTTAAAAGTTTATTTATAAACAGAAAAAATACATCCAATCTTTTTTTTATTTCTATCACAGCGTGTTTTCTGCTAATTGTTGCATCACCATTTAAAACAATGTCACAATCTAATGTTGTAAAAAAAAAAAAATTAATAAGCAATGAAGCCCTAGATAAATATTTTTTGAAATTTAATATATTTACCTTTGCGCCCAACTATATAACTTCTTCCATGCAAAAGAAGAAACTTAATACCATCTAAACAAATCACAGAAATAAACAAATCACAGAAATTAAAAATAAAGAACTCGAAAAAGTTTCAAAAAGAAAAACATTTACTTTCAAAATCCTGTTCATTTAAGTGTTGCAGAATCCACATTTATTCATTTATAGCCACGAACATTTATTCATTTATAGCCTACAAGCATTCTGTATAAATGTTGTTGAACAAAAATAATAAAAAGAATTATAACTGATAAAACTTCTAATGACGATGAGTTCATTACTCAAAGAAAACTAAAAATAAGAAAAGAAAAATTGTGTTAATGGGTCTTATAAAATGATGAGTGCCATAAATTGTGCAAACCACTCAGTTATAGTTTTAATAAATCTATTAGATGTCATTAACATTACCAAACACACAAATATCAATGGGATCATTTAAGGTTTTTCTGAGACCAATTTGAGACACTGAAAACTTTAAGGTTTAATATGGAAAAGAGATGTCTGGACATCTCTTCTGGGGCAAAACAATATCTTGCAAATAAAGTTTTCTGCAACTGGTAGTTAATTTGAAGCAACTAGAAAAATTTAAAATAATTTTTATTTTAATAAACAGGACATTAAAGGCCAAATTGTGAACATAAAAATATTTGTTTACAAGTATGATTTAAACAAAAAATAAAAAAAAAAATAAAAAAATAAAAAAAAAAAAGAAAGTTCAGGATCATCATGGAATGTTCAGAATGATGGAGCACTGTTTAAGTTATTTCTCAATATAACAAACTTAAATAATTTTTTCATAAAGAAGTTTTGCATTATTATTTCCTATTTTCCACATTAAAATAAAACTTTTTTTGATTTACAAAAAAAAAAAATTATAAATAAGAATTTTTTACTGTAAATAATAAATGAAAATATGTTACAAACCAAAAACTTTAAGCTATTATAAACATCAACAAAGACTTGCTCAAAAAAGCACTAAATTAATAAACTATTTTCAAAACAAAAAAGTATATAAAATGTATGCACTTTAATCAAACATAAATACTGATTCTTATCAAACTGGAATCTTACATAAAAAATTTTGTTAATAATAAACAACTTGCAAATAATAATTGTCTGTTTTTGTTATTTTTTACAAAATATTTGTATCTTCATATTTTACATGTATATTAAAAACAATGTAAAACTACTCATGAAACTGATTCTAGGTTATTTGCATGGAACTCACTGTATGGAGCTATTTTTTCAGGAAATCTGGGACAAACGATATCAATCTAAATAAAAAAAAATAAATAAAAATTTTTAATAGTTTTTTTGTGTATAAATTAATTTATAAATATTATTATAAATAAATAAAATTATTTCTAATATGATTATACTTATAAAAAACTGTTTATAATTTTTTAAAAATAATTTTAATAACTAATTTTAAATAATTTAATTCTTAATTATTAATTCATTATTGCTTTAAATAATTTAAAATAAATGCAAAAGAATATAAAAAAATTTGATAAATTTAGTGTCAGTTTGACTGATAAAAGAAAAGCTATTGACATAAGGCTATATAAATAAAACAAGAATGAGTCTGTTATCAAAATTAAAATCATAACTAACATAACTAGTGATACCTAAGTTTTTGTACAATCACAAAAGTGCATATAATTTTGTTATTACACACTCTATATACATTGTAAATTACTCAAAATAAAGCTCTTGTGTTTTATCATAAAGTTTAATAAAATTTTTTACTACTTTCCTTTTTTTTTTTTAAATTAAAGGAAATGGAATCGAATGAAATTGCAAAGCGTTTTATCGGACCTTTAATGGTCATCCAGTAAAAATAGCAACAAAAAGTAACTTTAGAAAACTAAAAAATATCTTCAATCATAGATCATGACATTCTCAAAGAGCAGCCACTAGAAAATTTAGATTGTTTCAACCGTATGTTAACAAGTTATTAAAAATGTGTACTAACATCAAGTATAGAAAAAAAAATTTAAAAAACCACTTTAAACTGAACAACAAAAAAAGCTCGACTTAAATGCAGACAAATTTTGTCTGCATGCTTAAATGCAGACAAATTTTGTCTGCATTTAAGACAAATTTTGTCTCGATTTAAGTCGAACAGCAAGGAAATCATGATTTTTTAATTGATGATGAATCCTACTTTACATTGAGCCATACCAATCAGTCAGTCAATGACGCTTTCTACACTGATAACTTGAATAAGACTTAGGATAATGTTAGATACAGTTTCTAAGAAAAATATATCCAAAAGTTGCTTGTATTGCTTGCTATATTACTAAAAGAATTGACAAAACATTTTTTTCAAAAAACCTGGAAATGGGATTAGCAAAGACGTTTGTTATGAAATTCTAAAGAAAAAAAAAATCTGCTTCCTTTTATTAAAAAAAATTATAGCGCTGGTGGTTATATGTTTTGGCCTAACTTAGCATCCACTCACTATGCTTCCAAGGTAACTAAATTTTTGGAAGACCAGAATATACTTTTTGTCAAAAAATTCATGAATCCTAGCAAATTTGCAGGAAGCTTGTCCAATAGAAGATTTTTGGGGAAACTTTAAAATGAAGGTTTAGAAGAAAAAGCTTGTTGAGTTGAGAAAAAAAATTAGATGGCTTGGCAATATGGACTTAAAGTTTGTACAAAACTGTGCTTTATCAGTCAGGAAAAAGCTTGATAAAATAAAAAGATCTGGACTTTCATTATTTTATTATTATTATTTTTTATAATAGAATTAATTGACAATAATAATGTATTTGATAGATCTAAAATAAAATTTCAAACATTATTAAATTTCAGTTTAAATTTGTGCTAAAACTTAGTTATCACCCATTAAAACCATTTTATAACAACTTTAATTTTGTATCAGATTACTAACATAACATCTATTGTTAAATATAATTTTTAATTTTTGTGAGTTAATCAGCAAGCATAAAATAGTTAATTAAAGTTGAGGTTGTTAGTTATATTTCTAATTTGTTTTCTAGCTGTATAGTTTTCAACTCAATGGTATCATAAAAATTTTACGGTAACTTTTTTAGCAAACTTGTTTTATTGTATAATATTTTTTATTTCCCTGATTGCAGTTTTTTTGCTCAAAAGTTTTGAACTTGTGAAAACTTATGTAATTGATATACATAATTTTAAAATACGATTATATACAAAATTAAAAAAAAAAAATCAACTATTAAAATAAAATTTAAAAACAATAACAAAAAAGTCCTTAAAAATATTTTCAGTCACTTTTAAAATACTAACTTTAGTAAATAATTTTAAAATAATAAATAATGACATAAAAATAATACACAAAAAATGTTGTTATTTAAGTTTAAATTTGTATTTAAATCTCTATTAAAAAAATTGATTGTTAAAAGTAAAAAGAAATTGAGTATATTATTCAACAATTAATTACAGTAAAAATGAAATTTTAAATAATAAATTTAAATTAAATATAATAAAAACATATATAGAAAAGATTTTTTTGCGATTGTTTAAAAAATTATCTTTCAAAAAGAATGTGATTGTATTAAAAATCTTATGTAAAGAGTATGATTATTTTGAAAATCTTCTTTTAATAAGAATGTTATAAAAAATCTGTTATAAAAATGTTATAAAAATGTGATAAAAATCTTATGTAAAGAGTATGACTGTTTTGAAAATCCTCTTTCTAAAAAAATTTTTTTTTTTTGCACTTAATAGAAACAAAACTTGTGATTCCAAAAACCTTTATAACAATTCTATTTCACTAGTATCTGAAAATCTTTTGTTAACAATCTAACTTTAAAAGATTTTTAATCTTATATTTATATTTATTTTATTGACTAGAACTTTAAATATTGGAAAAAATTTTATTATTGGAAAATAATTTTGTATTATACATAACTAGGGTTGCCAGACGTCTGGCTTTTATGGAGGAGAATACAACGCCAAACTTGTATAAATAAATTTTTTTACTGTGTTCTCCTACGTAAAAGCCGGACGTCTGGCAACCCTATTCATAACTATCAGAACAATAAAACAAAGAAACGAATTGGAGAATTAAAAAAACCTACTTTTTCTGGATTATTATCTGTGATGCTATAAAAAAGAATAACATTATTTGTTGTTTTTGAAATGAATTATTATAACTTAATATATTAAAAAAACTCTAACAACTTCATATATTAGTATTCTATATATATATTAATAAAATTTAATATAAATTATAAGAATGGCATATAAATTAGCAAATGGTCACACATGAGCAGCAAACAGCTGAGGGAAAAATGAAGTACACTAGAATACAGAAAAATTATTTTATGAATGAAGCATATTTAGACAGACAGTACACCCTAACTAGTAAGTGACCAGGGTCCAGGCCCTGGCCCCAGCAAATATCTTTTACAAACCTGGCCCAGGCAAAATTATAAGCAAATTATAAGCAATTTATAAGCAACTTATAAGTAATTTATAAGCAAATTATAAGATTTAGCAGGGATTGATAGCCGGAGCTAGGAAAAATTTATAATAAATATTATAAATTTATGCATAAATTTACTATTTGTTAAAAACTGGCATACAATATAGATATATATATAATATAAATATAGGGGAAGTGGGGGCATAACTGCGTATAAAGGCACAACAGTTTTTTAACATTTCCCTTTGAAATATGTTATCTTATATGGCAAAAAACATACCAAGCGTTATCAAAACAGTTTCCTTTCGCTTATGTCAAAAAAAGTTTCATTTCTGAAAAGTTGTGTGTAATGTTTATTTTGATAAAAATATTATATTTACATCATATTTTTCCAGACCTTCTTTTTAAACTGTATTCTTTCTAAAAACTGTCCTCTAGGGTAGAACCGCATACTTTCAGTATTTATCAAAGTTAGGTATTACAAATAACAATAATTACAATTGTTACACTTGAATGCATTCATGTAAAAATTAGAATAGAAATATTTTTATTTTGAGATGTTGGAAATTAGATTTCGTATTTTTTTATTTAATTTTTATGAGTTTTTGAATAAAGCATAAAGCTAAGAGTATATCGAATAAGAAAAAAAACTCAAACTCAAACTGCAAGTAAAAAGAATGCCTGCACAATATGCAAACGTGCAACAAAATCAGCAAATAATCTGTGCTGTGACAAATGTAAAGAAATCAACCAAGAAAAGTGTACCCCCAACAATTTTTGTGAGGGTGCGGTTGTGCCTGACAATGGGGGCAAAACAGTTTTTTTCACTAAGTGTAATTTTTGTGTAATAACATTTTCAAAAACCGTTTAATGTTTTTCTTAATTGCATCAATTTAAAGCTTAATGATGTGGTTATTGAAATTAACTGTTAAAAAAAACATTTCATTTTTATTTTCATATAACATTAATCCAAACATTACAGGGGCAGTTATGCCCCCACTTCCCCTATATGTTTGCTATTTATATGTTGGCATACAATACTCGTATATATTTCTACAAACTTTAGCAGGGAAAATTTGCCAAAATTAGAGCACAAAGGAATAAATAATTTTTAACCGAACATGGTTTAATTATGAAACAAACAACCCTATTAGAAGCATAAACAACCTTACTATAATTTTAACAATAATTTGACTTAAGTAATTGTCAAATTATTGTTATTGGAAATAAATTGGTTTTGTCAAAACACCATTTTGTTTTAATGAAGACAAACAAGTTTCCTAAATTGGAATACTTTGATTCCTCATCTATAAAGTTTTCCTTACTGATTAAGTAAGGAAAACTTTATAGTTCCAATCGTGGAAATTTTGGTCATTTTTGTTATATCCTTGCATTATCATACTTGCAGCAATTTATAAATTAAAATTTATTAAATATAAAAAAAACATACCAAACAAAATATTGACTTGAAAATAAAAAGCATGTATACAATAATATAAGGCCTAAGTGGAAAAAACATTAATGCTAATGTATAAATGCAATTTATGTAGTGGTTAAGTAATAAAATTCTCCTCAGAGTACCATTTATTATTACTGACACTTCAATGAGGATCAGCATTAATAACTAATTTATTAATCTAAGGTGGCATTGTTCGCTGATGATACTACCATTTATTCTTGCCTTGATAAGAAGCCAACACTCTCTGATTGCTTGAAAGGGCATTTGAGCTTGAGAATGATCTTACTGCTAGAGCAAAGGTAAACTTTAACTCAGATAAAACTCAATTTTTTTCAGCTTATCGTTATCACAACAATCTAGATCTTCCTATATTTATGAACAGTAATGTACTCAATGAGTCATCCCTTCATCTTCTAGGATTAACTGTTACAATTTCTTTCTTGGAAACCCTATATCCTTCTTGGAAACCCTATATGCTACCTATGTTTAAATTTTTTATAAACTTTATATATTAGTATTTTTTATATAGTTATTAGCATTTCATGTATAAATGTAAAACAAGTTTATTAATTACTTCCTTCTTCTGTACCACACTACAAAAGCAATAACAATGATGACACCCAGAATCGATATTACAATCATGACAACTATCAATATTGCTGAAAGAAAATAAATTTACAAACTTTTTCTAAGTGTGTAGTGATTTATAGACAAAAGATGTAAAAAAAAATTATAAGTATAAAGAAAAAATTACAAGTTGAACTGTTGAAGAAGCATTGGTATTCAGCTGATTTTGAACAACCTTTACTAGTACATATATTAATTTTATATTTTCGTCTAGAACTATTCTCATCATAGATTTCGTAAGATAATTTTGATGTTACAAGAACTCTTTCTTCTTTTATTTCAACATCTAAATCCATTATGTTTACCAAAAAGTGTGTGTAATTCTCTGATAATTCGTCATTTGTTGGTTTCTTAAAAAAAAAAAAAATAATCAATAAGCAAGCAGAATAATAAGCAAAATAACAAACCAATAGAAATAAGTGATTTTAATTTTGCAACAAATATATATATATATATATATATATATATATATATATATATATATATATATTAGGGTGGGTCATAAAATTTTTTTTTCTTGTTACAGGCTCTAGACTTTGCAAGTAGTTATTAATAGTGATACTATCAAATATGAGAATGATTGTGATAGATTTAAAGGTCGCAACTTTATTGGGAAAATTACCGGTACCCTAATATTTTAGAGAAAAAAAGTTTTTCAAAAGTAAGTCAACCTGGTACTCAAAAGAAGTGAAATTTTATAAAAAATTCGATAATAATAATCGCTTTATTAAAATCATATTGCCGAAAAAAATTATCATTAAAAAACATGAAAAAATACACTTTTTTTACTTTTAGTTAAAAAACCATAGTTATTATGCAATAAAATCTAAAATAATAATTTTTATATGAAAAAATTTTTATAAAATTTTGCTTTACTTGAGTACCTACATCACATAATTTTGAAAAACTTTTTTTTGTTATTAAAGTTGCGGGTAGAAGACATGGTTCAATCCATAAAAGTATATACTTTTCTAAATTAGTACGTAAAAAAAAACAACTTTCAACTAGCAACTCTAAAAAAAAATTTTATGACCCACTCTAATATATATATATATATATATATATATACATATATATATATATATATATATATATATATATATATATATATATATATATATATATATATATATATATATATATATATATATATATATATATATATATATATATATTTATATATATATTTATTTATTTATTCATTTATATTAAATGAATAAAAACAACTTTTGATGGAACTTTGAGTTTCATGCCTTTCGGCAATCATCAGCCATTGTGTATTTTGTCACTTAAAAACCATTTAAAAATTACAAATTAAAATTACGGTGGAACGAAACAAAACAAAAAGACGTCAAAGGTTTTAGTTCCCGGTATCAAATAAGGATAGTAAAAATTTTTTTGAATGCCGGCACTATGATATTATTTTATATCTTTTATTAAGTAAGTTTTCTCCTTTATATGATAATATGTGAAACTTCTCGCGGAGACAAAGATTACAAACTTTTAATGCTTGATTGTAGGGCTTTCATTGTGCTATTATCTTCCATGTAATCACAGGATTTATATGTTTCGATTTTAGCTCCCATATTTCTTTGGAAAGTACAGTGTCATTTTTATATTTGGGTGCATTGAAAGATTTAAGATGATTGGCATATCTTAATTTAAATGTGGTTTTACTTACACCGAAATAAACTTTATCTTTGCATTGAGGGTCTCCAGAACTTACAGTGGCTTGGTATACGATATTGCTAAAAAGGCATTGGTTATTTAACGGACAAATATTTTTGTCTATGCAGTTACATTTTTTTTATGTTTTTTTTTTATCGCTATGTAAAATTTTGTTATTATGTGCATTTACTAAAGACTTAACATTAGGCATGCAACTATAGCTAACTTTAATATAGTTTCGATTAAAAATTTTATGAAGCCTGTGTCCTACTGGAAAGTGTTGGTCAATTAAAGCTAAAAAGCGATTTCCAATTTTAGTTTCAACATTTTTGCTAAACAGGGGGTTGTACCATATTATTTTACGTTTGCGATGTCTTTTTTTATTTTTGTTTATTTGCAGTTGGTAGGTGAGTTTTGAATTGTATCCCGATTTAAGTAAAGCCTCTTCATACGGAAGAATGAAATTATTGAACACAGTTTCATTTAGTGCCATAGTCGATAATCTTAACTCAATAGTGCGAGGGATTTCTTTTATTATATTAGGTGGATGGTTTGACTCTGAATGAATATACATAAGTTGGTTATTAGGTTTACAATACAGTTGATAAGAACTGTCAATCAGGTTCAATGTTACATCAAGATAATTGACAATTTTAATATTACATTGGATGGAGACAAGTAGGTTGTTGCTTTTAAAAATATGTGTAAAATGCTTTTTGATTCTTTCCATTTGTTGGCCGCTTTTGTTTTCAAAAATAGCAAGCCCGTCATCATGATACAAGATACAACGTAATCGTACAAGCCCATACTCATGATACAAAAAAAAAACGTAATCAAGTAGTTTCCTTAACTGTAGTGGCCTTCTTGGTATTGGGGAGGTTAATTAAAATAAATAAAATAACAATAAAAAAAAGAGTTAGGATTTAATTGTTTTTAAACTTATTTAAACATCTTTATTGTTAAAAAAAATCCATAGTAAATCTAATTAATGAACGCAATTCAACCATTACTTGTGGTTTCATTGATTAAAAAAAAATTGTTGACTAAAAAAATATAATACACATTTTTTAATCATTAAGTTTACTGCAATTATCTATTTTATTTTAAAGGCGCCTTAAAAGCACTGTGAAAATTATTAAACTTTAGTAAAAATTAAATTAACCCATTTGTTAATATTTAAATTGAAAATTAACGTGAAAATTAAAATAATATTGAATATGATAATTAAACCCTTATGTTTTGTATTCAAATAATTATTGTTTATATAATATATTATATATACACAATAACTATTCAAAAACAAGACATTTTTAATTACATTAATTTTAATTACAGTAAAATCTCAGTAAATCAAACATCGGTTAAATCTCAAATTGTTTCATTTGATCCCTTAAAATCATCTGATTACTAATAAAAAGTGGAACATCAACTTTTTCAACAACCGGAGAATTTTATAAGTAATCAATTAGATGATTATAAGGGACCAAATGAAACCAAAGAATTTTATTAGAATAATTCTAATTTAAAATAACTCTAATTAAGTCAAACCATTTTTTCATCCCCTTTCGGCAAATTTCTCCGGATAACTTAAATTTTTTGTATGGAAATAATGATATCAAAATATCTTAATTAAAATTTTTTTAAATACAAAACATAAGCAACTCAATTTTTTTTTCCTTTGCATTAAGATTTGAATAGCATAAATATCAGACGTAGAATAATGTTATTAAAACTATATTAAAACTGATAAAAAAAAAACAACTGATAAAAACAAATCATTGTAAAAACATTGTTAATAAAGCAATTACTTTATAGTTTTAATTAATTTCTCAATTAATGAGCATTAGCTTTTAGATGCAGTTTTATTACCAAATAATAAAGTCATTGTGTTTTTTTTTTAATGTTATGTTATATATAATATGAAACTGTTGATTTGTTTTAGGTATTTTGAACAAAATGTTCAAAATACTTAAACCAATTTTAAATAAATATTTACAAACAGCAGTATTTACAACTTTTTAAAAAAAATCATAAATATAATAGCATATGCGTCCAACAGTAAATTCATGTATTCAAAGAAATCTCTTTTATAAAGAGACTCTATTTTGAATCAACTCCTTATCTTTAGATCACTGATACGAATATTACGAAAATATTTTTTTATATCCATTTTCTTTGCAACTTTTCTTAACCAATATATTAGTAAATATTTTCTTATCTGCGCTAGAAATATGGACAATTTTTAAATTTTTTTTCACATGTTTTTGCTAAGCTTTACTTATTTTATCAATGCACAGGAAAGCTAGATTTGCAACTAATTTTCAAAAACTCATTTATTTTTTTTTAAGAAATTTTTCATGTAAAAAAGGAAAGTCATAAATACTAATATTCAAATATAAAATATTTGGTTGTTTTCACTACTTTCCACCCCATTTATTTTAATGGTCTCCACTTTAGTTCGATTCTCAAATATGTTTGTGCATTTAAATCTGATAGTTTATTTCCTGATGAACAATTGTTATTGAAGATGTTTATTTCCTGATGAACAATTGTTATTGACGATGTTTATTTCCTAATGAACAATTGTTATTGACGATGACTTTTGACGATGTTTCAAAATTTATGGACTAGTGCATTGGTAACAAAATATTTAGAAGCCTATCTGAAGCCTATCTGAAACTTTAACTTTTTAAAGACATTTTTTTAAATGAGCAATCGTTATCTTCATTAGGGAGTTCTGATTATTACGTCCCAATATGTTGTAAATTAGGCAGTATAAAGGAAACAATTCCAGGCATCAAATGTGTTAAATATGTTTATTAAAGAAAGCTATTCTTCTATTTAATTTCTTCCGCCATTATTAATTTACTGCTACATAATAAAAGGAGAGCTTCGAAAATAAAAAATCAGATTAGAGTTAGATGTGAGTGAGAAAAATGAGTAAAAAACTTATTGCAAAATCATTAAAAACTGTTCAATCATGGAAATATGATTTTCTTGGTCAAGAAGTTAATGATGTAGACACTGTTGTTAAAATATGGTGTAAACTTTGTGCGAACTATAGAAACATCATGCAAAGCCAACCTTCAATATTGGGGTCTGCTAGAAATTCTTGGAACACATTTTCAAATGAAGCTAATGTTGTAACTCATCATCAAGTTTAATATTTATTCTATTAAATATTTATCTATAGCACATTAAAAATAAGCAATTATGTAATCTTACTTTTTTCACTTATCTTCCAGGTTATGAGGCACTTATGTACAAAATCAGGCAAAGAGGCTGAATGATTAGAAATATTTAGTAATTCTTTTACTTCAGGTGTGACTATGAAGTATGTGAGCTCAATAACTGACAACAATAACTCAATAAGCAAATCAACATATTTAAAGTTAATTAACACTGCGTATGAAATGGCTTTACAAGCAACTCAAAATATCATTTTGAGTTGCTTGTAAAGGTTCAGCTTGACAACAGTGTCAAATTATTGCAAGGAAAAAGCGACAAAAATGCAGGTACATTATATTTATATAATAATAACTATTAATGTGTTCTTAAAAATGTATTACTCAATGCTCTTAAAAGAACAGAGCAATAATAAATTAATAGAAATCCCTTACCAATTTTATTTTTTTATATGTTTTGTTAATAACTATATTTTGTCTTTACATGTTTTGTTAAT